TGACCGTGTGTTTTTAAGCGAGGCCAAAGTCCACTCACGGTTAGCAGGAGGGAGAGGGCCAGGGAAGATTCTATGGCCGAACCCAAACTCACTGCTCTGGAGCCGATGGAGACTCACTGCAACCCCACAGGACAGGGCGGAACCACCCCTGTGGGTTTCCAAGACTGTCACTCTTTACAGGAGAGAAAGCCCCATCTCAGCCGAAGTGTAACCACTATGCCACCAGAGCTCCTGAGCTGATGGGAAAATCCCGGAATGGTTACAGGTGAGAGTTGAGCAACATGATAAACAAATTAAAGTCACTGAACTGCACATGCCAGGCATGTCGAAATGGCCATTGCTGTCTTAGCTACATATTCACCACCATACGAATGTTAAGTGAACAACATTTAACAACCTGAAAACTGTTAGCTATGGCTGGGGCAACCTGAGAGCCCTGGTAGCCTAGTGGGTTGAGTTGGGCTGCTAATCCCAAGGTCAGCAGTTCAAATCTAACAGCTGCTCTAAAGGAGAAAGACAGGCTTTATATTCCCGTGAAGATTTCATCTCAGAACCCCCCGGGGGCAGTTGGACCCTGTCCTATAGGGCTGCTGAGCCAGAATTGACTTGGTTTAAGGCACTCTTAGGGTCTGGTAGTGACAGACTGGGCTGCTAACCATGAGGTCAGAAGTTTGATACAGCAGCTACTCTGCGGGAGAAACCCAAGGCGTTCTGCTCCTGTCCATAGGGCTGCTGTGACAAGCCTAGATGGCAGTGAGTGGATTTGGGGTTTTGAGGCAACTTGGGTATCTGAATCTTATAGATAAAATATTTCTGATACAAATTTAGTTAGCATTTCAATTTGCGGTATATGAGGTCAATGAGATTGGATTTCAAAGACGTCATGTGAAAAACTGTTCAGTTAGCTCATATAATTCAATATAATTTAAAAACTGCTTACATATGGAAATGCTGATGTCTGAGATACACTGAGCTAAGTAAACTATTAAAATGATTTTCACCTGTTTCTTCTGTTTGTTTTTTAATGTGGTTAACCAGAAAAATTCAAATGCAGGTGAAAGCCAGCACCACAAGTCTCATCACCACACTTCATTGAGTCAGCTGCTGTCTCCCCGCCTCTCTGCCCCCACCCCCCCCACCCCGCCCAGTTTGCAGGGACACTCTGGACACAGGGGCTGGCACAGGTGCCTGAGTGTCCCGGAGTAATTTACACAAGCAACCTCTGTCCCAAGATGGGAACAGCCATGGAGGCAGGCTGGGCACACCCACAAGATTTGTTTTGAAAACTGAGTCATGTGGAAAAGTTACAAGGCCCGGACACAGCAGTGTGTCATGCAAACCCAACAGTCCCATCTGGTGCGGCTACAGGCAGGGTACTCTGTGGGGGACGCGGTCTTGGGGCGCCCAGAGCTAGGCAGGCAGTTTGGAGGTCACCCTGCTGAGGACCCAAGACTCCATATAGCTGGATTCTTCTTCTCTGTGCCAGAAGTGAGGATGTGCCGCTGGAACGAGCCAGAATGTGTATTTCAAAGAGTAAACACAGCAGGAGGGGAGCCCCTCCCTGCCTTTTGGGGGCCTTCTAATGGAGGACAGGACTCCTCATTCTGAAAGCCCCCCAGCAGGCAGCAGCTGTCATATGCTGATTTTTGGTGACACCTCTCTCTCTCTCTCTCTC